GATATTGTAACACTTGACAAGGCCTTGCCTTATCACATTGTGAAACAAATCATGGATTCCCGTCTGGAACTTGACTTGGACAAGCCTGAGAACAGATGTTTTCCTGATAAACATGTAAAGAGGATACATCGTGCTTTAGATTCGGATGATGTTGAATTAGTGAGAATGCTACTGAAAGAGGGTCATACTAATTTAGATGAGGCAAATGCACTTCACTATGCTGTGGCATACTGTGATGCAAAGACCACAACAGAATTACTTGACCTTGGACTTGCTGATGTTAACCGTCGAAACTCAAGGGGATACACTGTGTTGCATGTTGCAGCAATGAGGAAAGAGCCTAAGATTATAGTATCTCTTTTAACCAAAGGTGCCCGGCCATCCGATCTCACCCTAGATGGTAGGAAAGCTTTTCAGATCTCAAAGCGACTCACCAGGGCTGCAGATTACTATATATCTACTGAGGAAGGAAAGGCTTCTCCAAAGGACCGTTTGTGCGTTGAGATACTGGAGCAGGCAGAAAGAAGAGAACCATTGCTTGGAGAAGCTTCTTTTTCTCTTGCCATGGCTGGTGATGATCTACGGATGAAATTATTGTATCTTGAAAATAGAGGTAATTTTCAGATCATATTCAAATCCTTTTCCTTTTCATGCTAGTTGCTTCATCTTGGATGGTCCTTCTGAGTTATTTTCTTCGAATGGTCAGGTTTTTGGCCATTAGAATTCCCATTTCTTTATAGTTTCAACCTATGATTTTGCAGTAAGGGACCTTTGGTTTTTCCTTTGAATCTCCAATATGTGTTTTTACCGGTGAATAGTCATGCAGGTGATGCTGGGGCTTCAATCAGTCATGTTTACTTGTCCAAGAAAATAGTTTTATACAGACCAAAAATGGGTAGATAATAGCAACATATTGCAATTTGTGAACCAGAATGGAAAATAACAACTTCGACAGAGTGAACAATGTGCTTTGCTTTGCAAAGAAATGCTGACCACACCTGTAACCATAGGAAATGTTAGACCAATGCAAAGGGAATTGAAGCAATTATCTGACTATTATAATAATCCTATATATTTAATGCAGTGAAATTATTGCACACCAAAATTCTCTTTTCTCTTGCTCTTCTAAATGAAAGCATGAAACTCCTCTCTTCTCTCTCTCTCTCTCTCTCTCTACTACTGCAAGTTTGTCTATGCTTGATTTATTTATTCGTTCTTTGGTTTAGGTCATTAGTTGAAAATCTGAATGTCACACAGTTGCATAGATGTGGTTTTTCCTTAATCACTGATTGCATGAAACAGAGAAGAATAACAATAACTAGAACAAGAACAAACTGAGTTTTTTTTCATCGTACACATGGGGTTGGCAATGTAGATCACATTGTGTGACTGTGTCCTATTTACAACCCTATCTTGAATGGTTTCAGTTAACGTGAAAATGGGATTTTTATATAGTATTAGAGAAGATTTAAAAGAAAATTAATGATAGCATAGTTTCATTACTCTTACAGCATGTTTGGTTCATAGAATATAATAAAATAGAATAGTTATTTTATAGGAATAGAATAAGGAAGGAATAGAATAGAATGACTATTATGTAGTTAGGTTTATGAAATGGAATAAGATAAGAATTGTTATTGTAACTCATTCTAATGTTTGATCGGTAGGATTAGTTTTGGAATAGTTAAGGAATAAATGATAAAATGATAAAATTACCTTTTATTTTTATTTAGTAAACTAGACAAAATTACTCATTATTATAATTTAATAATATTTTTCTATTTTTAATCTTTTAATTTCATATTCATTAAAATGTTAAAATATTAATAATTTATTATTAAATTATTATTACTATTTTTTATTCCAATATCTTTTTATTTTTTTATTTGTATTTTCATTTTTTAATCTTTTAATTTCTATTTTCATTAAAAATTTAAACATCAATAGTTTAGTATTCAATTATTAATATAATTTTTTAGTTTAATTCCTTTTTACTTTTTCTTTATTTTCATTTTATATTTGTAGGTTGTAATTATTTTCAATAAATAGGAATATTTCTGTCCAATAAATTTTTGACTCTATTCCATGGTCATGGAATAGTCATTAACGTGGGGAGGTGGGGAATGGCTAAGCCAAGATTTTGAGGAATAGCCATTATTTGGAATGGCTATTCCTCACCTCAAAAACCAACCAAACAAAAGAA